CAGCGACTGGGCCGAGGGCCCAGCCCGGCCGGTCCCGTCCCCTCCGGCGGGGAAGTCGCCTTGCTCCTCCCTCGCCCCTACCGGCAGACCGCCGCTCAGCCTGATGCGGGTGACAGCTGCAATTGGAGGCTTGACGCCTTCTTCGCCCTCCAAGCCCAGAACAAACCGAAGGGAAATAACAAGGAAGACTCCTGCCCGCAGCCTAGACCGCCAGGGGGCAGAGATTAGAGAGGAGTTAAGAGGTCGAGTTGGTGGGGGAGCCAGCGGGAGTGAAGGGTCACCCTCGAGTTACCTCGCCAATGGGAGTTTTTGGTGGAGCAAACCACTGCAGGGAAAGGCGATTTTCCCTAAACACTTGCTACTTGACAAGTAGTGTGGACCGCTCTCTGAAACTTGGAATGACCCTGAAAGGAAATGCATTCCATTTATACCAAGGGAGGTTCCTAGATGCCATGGAAACTGCCCAACCTCTTTGCTTGAGTTTGCCAAATAAGCTCACTCGAGGTGCCCATCCTGTGTATGTCTCCCTTGAGAACTCTGCCAGTTCACTGTCTGGTATGGGAAGTCATCTGTGGCTGCCTCTGGTGGTGGCAGCGATGTGTGTGTGAGCAGAATGTACATGTGAAGAGTCCTCACAGAGTCACTGGTTCCGGAGAGGAGGGGACCACCGGCAAGTTACTCAAGATGACACCTGCTTCGAGTCTGGAGTGATTGCATATGAAACCAAGCCACCTGTGACTCACCTGTTTCATAGGCTCGTTGTGGCAGTAAACAAAATTTTAGATACCTCCCAGTACCTGGCATTGTGATTGGAACTAAGAAAAGAACCCACCTATTGACCTGAAGGATCCAGTAAAAAACGAAAGAAACAAACTGTTGTTATTTTGTACGGAGGATTGAACTCAGGACCTTGTGCTTGCGAGTGGACCCACTGAGCTAAATCCCCGGCCCTCCGGAGCAAACTGTTACTAACCTTCACTTAGAAGGAATCCAAGGAACTGCAGACTCATTTTAACTTGGGCCAGAACAACTTAGAAGTGATATTTGCTGCCAACATAGGTGCGAGGAACCTTCCCACACTTGTGTTCTTGCATCCTTTTCACTGCACCCTAGAAGTGGTTGCTCTTACTCTTACTTGACATGGATAGGCCCAGAGAAGGTGAGCAACGTGTCCAAGGTCACATAAGGGCAGAGCTGGAACTGAGTCAGTTCCCACTGGTTTCCAATCTTGCGCTTTCCACCTCATGCTACAAACTGTCCATTTATCTGACCCAGAGTCAAGTGAACAAAACCTGTCCTCCCGTATTGTCCATGTCCCCGCATGGATGCTTAGCGTGCTGACTGTCCAGTGCAGCAGTTCTGCTTGGGTCCTGACAGGGCCGATGTAATGCCACAAGCACCATGTCAAGCTTTGTTAATGATTCTGATAAATCAGCTACCCTCCTATACTTTTAACTTTTCTGTCCCCTTCTGGGCTCCTGCTGTGACGATGCAGGAGACCACTTATTTTGCTGAAGCTGAGTGCAGAGGTAAATGGGAATGCCTAGGGTCTGAGAGATGAGGGAGAGTATAGGGAACAGGGAGCGGTATGTATAGGGAGGAGATAGTGGAAGTAAGTACAGAGAAACTGACAGCTTAATTCTGCCCCTGGGGCTCATTTTATGGTTAATTAGGACATAAAAATGAGCTGGAAGCTCATTTAATACCTTCCCTGGCATGCAGCTCCTCAAACCTGGCCCATTTCCCTGGCAGGTACAGGGGGCCCCTGAATGGCCCAGGCCTCTGCTCAGAGCTCCACCTGCTTCTTTGTGGTTCCACGGCCAGAGTCTGTAGATGTTCCCTAGCCCCAGCAGGAAATGGGAGGTGTCCCTGCTGGGCAGTTGGCCTGTTTGCCTCCCATCTTCCCTTTTCCAACCTTTCATACCTGAAACCACCTTTCCCTTCTCCTCAGGTCCTTCCCAGGACTCCACCCCTCAGGGTGACCTCTGAAATCAAACCTGCTCTGAGGAATAGAAACCTGGCTAAGCTCTGCCCCATTGAGTTCCTGGTGGCTCCCCAGAGCCCTGGGGAAAGGGGCTGTTAGTCTTCCCCACATCATTCCATTTCCTCCGTGCCTAGAAAAAGCAAGAGCCCCAGCCTGTCTAGGAAGCAGGGGATGTTTCTAGCTTCTCCAGGGCAGATCTCTCCACCCATAGCAGCAGTTAAGGAATTTCTTCCCCCCAGTGGTATGAGCACAGGATGTGGAGTCAGGGTTTGAGACCCACTTCTGTCACTGTGTGAACTTGAGCATGTTGTTTGACCTTGCTGAACCTCATTTTTCTCATCCTTGAAAAGGGCTGCTGTGAGGTTTAGAGGACACTGAATCCAGGAGGCAGGCACACTGCCTGGATAGGAAAGCTCCACAGACTACTTCCCATCCCAGCACTAACCTTGAGACCCAAGGCACACTGCTAAAAATAAAGAAAAGTACTTCTCTGAGTCCTGGTCTCTTTTCTGCTAAGAAATGTGTACTGACTCGTTACCTCAGGATTGTGGGAAGGATCAGAAAACAATCACAGCTGTGAATATGCTTTGATACAGTGCAGATACAGTGGGCTATCATGTTCCAAATATGCTTATACTCTGGAAGGATGACACGTAGGGGTGGGATGGAGAAGGGCAGCACTTTGGTGAGCTGGGAGTAGGTGCTTGAGGACCCCACCGCCTATGGATCTGCTCTATGGACACTCCTTCCACCCCTGCACCCCATATCTCCTCCATGTCACCTCAGCACCTCAATCTGGTCTCCCATCTGCTCCCTGTGCAATAGGTGCTGGAGTCTGCCAAGCCACAGCTCTCTCTTCACCTTCCTCCTGGCCACTGGGGGCCAGTGGCCTAAGGGTGCCCTGGCGGTCCTCCAATCCATTCCCTCCTCTGCGAGGGGTCCCGGGGCTCAGTCTTGGTGAGGGGTAATGGGCTAGAAAGGCTTCAGGACAAGACCACATACCACAGCCATCCAAAGGACTACTGAGAGAATGGCCCTTGCTTTCTCCCATCAAAGTCCCAAAACAGGACCTCCAGCTAGAAGATCTCCTTGCTAGAGGACTTAGTTCCTGCCCGTCACTCTCCCCTTCAGTCAGTCCTGACACATTGTCCATCTACCACCTCCAGTCCCTGCCACACACACACCCTACCATGATGTCAGCCTCGCCAATGTTCCTGCAAGTTGACCCTCTTATATTCTTGTCCCCCAATGAAGTCCTCCTCCCTCCTCCTCAGCTTTCCTAGAGCTCCCTGAAAGCGTCTCTGGGCTCCTGGCTAGAGGCCAGTGAAGACCAGTGTGCCCCTGAACAGTTTGCGGCAATGGGAATCTGACGTGGGGACAAGAACAATCACTTTCTACTTCTTTTCCCTGCACGAGGGAAAAGCTGGTGAGGCTTGGGTCGAGAGAGCAAGCTCACTGACTGGACTCTGTGCCCAGTTCTAGGCTCCAGTGCTCTTCCACTCCACACAGCCCATTCACCCTTGCTATGCCCCTCTAGGGACATCCTTCAAGACAGCTCATCCACAGATGTGTAGGAATTAAATGTCAAATACCTCCTCCCATGTGCTTTGCACCTCTGCTCTCTGGTTCCCAACTCACACTCTCCCTGCCCCTTCCAAGCTCTGGGTGGATCCCCTCCTGGAGCCCTGTCCCTCTGACAGTGATGCCCACACCCTCTTCCCTCTTCTCCCAGCCTGCTGCGTGCTGGTCTGCAGGGGAATGTTTTTTTCTTGTCCTCTATCGCCCCCACTGGCTGCCAGAATTCCCCTTCCTGCCTTTCTCTCCTCAATCCTTGTCATGGAGGAGGCTGTGAGTGCTGTCCAGGTCTACAGCGATGCAAGAGGGGTGTGGGGTTTGTCTGTGAGCTCCTGACTTCCTCTTCACTTGTTTTCTGTCTGCTCCAGGAGTCAGAGGCTCATCCCTGCCCAATTAGACCCCAACTGACTCACCTGGCCTATTTGGACATTTCTCATTAGCTTTATCTCAGAGGAGGTAGGTTACTCCTGAGTGTTGAAAGCTTGAGTTTCTCATGTCTGCCTGTGCTGTTTCCTAAGGAATCAATTCTCCACTCATGTTGGCTTTTACTTGGCTTTCACTGTGCAGTCTGAAGGCTCTTTTCCCAGTGGCCTTATCTTTAGCTCTGCCACAACCATACTTTGTAAGTCACTTCTGTGCACGGTCCTTCCTTTCTGACTGAGCACCTCCAGGGTAGTACCTGCTCGTTCCCCATTTGTGTATTCCCTAGTACTGAACACAGGGCTCCCAGGTGACCAGCACTCTGCAGACTGAGCCCCATGCCGAGTCCTCTTTGGATGCTCCTGCTTTACAGAAGGCCACCAGTCGAGGCTTTCTCCGCTGCCTCCATTCTCCCAGAAGACAGGGAAGCTGCAGTCAAAGTCAGAGAGCAGAAAACTTCTCTAACCCAGCCCCACTTGCCAAGATATTGTGTCCTCTGTCCTGCTCCTTAGGGGAATTCCATTTTAATGCTGGCTGTATGAGGAGCCTTGGCCCTCACCCTCCCACTTGCCACTGTCCTGCTGTCAATGGGTTGCCCAGGCTCAAACCCCACCTTCAGAAGACCACAGCCACTTCTCTCGAGTGCTTGCTGAGTCCCAAGCGGATCTTAATTGTCATTCTAAAGGTTATCACCTTTAACTCAGCCTCCCTTTCTTGATCCCTTTCCACCAGCCTTCCACACCTGGTTCATTTCCTCG